TTGGGGGGTCATCCCCACATGAACTGTATGGAAGGGTCACGGCATGAGGAAGGTTGAGAACCACTGGCTTAGACCAACACTCCCACCTCTCGAGAGTGGGGCCAGCAAACTTTTGACATGGAAGACTCAATCCTGACCCTCACAACCATCTAAAAAATGATTCGAGAGTCATTCATTCATTTTACAAACAAATGAAATCACCATTATCTGAATAATATCCCTTACAATGTTTCCATTTTACTTCAGAGTAAGTAAGTAAAGAGCCTCAGATGACCCGAGAGCTTGCCAGCCTCTACTCTAGACAATGAAGGGACTGGAATATATATATAGTTTAAAAGGTGCATCCACAAAGAAGTGTAAAAGACAAATAATCACCGCAGTGTGCCTATTTAGTTATAAACCACGTGATAGACTACTATCTTAATATGAGTATGGTATATGGTCATTATCAACCACACAACATGGTGCAATGACAAAAGATAAGCAGCCTGTCAAGTTAGAAGTCAAGACGGTATTCGGGAAGAAGTAAGTGAGAGACATGCTGAGCTGGTCCTCTTTCCTGAATGAGCCATGGGGGAAGTTTGACATAGCAGTCTGGGTTCCTATTCAACATTTTCTACACATGTTCAGCATCATTGGTCATGTTCTTCAACATGTATGAACAGTCTCGTTATTTCTGTTCTGGTTGTTCCATCTCCCTTTATCTAGCTTCCCTGCCTCCTGACATTCTTATCTTTTGCTTTAAAGTAAGTGGTGACTGTTGGCAAAGGTCTATGAATTCTGGAAGTAAAGATTTATTGCTCTGACAATTTCTGAAAATGTTTCCAAGTGTGTACATTAAGGATTTGGACTCCACAAACTAACTCTGGAATCTGAGGTGAGTCTAAAATGCCTTTCCGTTATTCCAGAGTTACTAAATTGCTTTATTTTTGTTCATTCTAAGATCCTTTAAAAATACAAGCAGTTCCTGGGTCATGAAAGAGATCTGTTTCTAAGTGTATCTTTAAGAATAATCAACCATTTGAAATCAAAGGGCAGCATTTACCCAAGGATACAGTTCAGGGTAAGTTTAGGAAAGGAGAAATGGAAGCCCCCCACCCCCATCCCAGGAGGACTCAGGATAAGTGATGGTACATTGTGTCAATGAGATGAAACAAAATGCATGTGAATTGCTGAATGTGAAACTGATGATCTGCTCTCTAAAGCTTCGCTCAATTCACAGAAAGTTAAAGCAACATGCACGCACACACACAGAGATTGTGATTACATCAGAACAGGTGCATATGGTTTTCATTTAGCCCAATGCTCCTGTGAAGACTCAGCCTCGGAAACCTTACTTTTTTAAAAAATTTTAATTTAATTTTATGTTTTTAATCATTTTATTAGGGGCTCATACAACTCTTATCACAATCCATACATACATCAATTGTGTAAAACACATTTGTACATTCACTGCCCTCATCATTCTCAAAACATTTCCTCTCCACTTAAGCCCCCAGCATTAGGTCCTCATTTTCCCCCTCTCTCCCCGCTCCCCCCTCCCTCATGAGCCCTTGATAATTTATAAATTATTATTTTGTCATATCTTGCCCTGTCCGACGTCTCCCTTCACCCACTTTTCTGTTGTCCGTCCCCCAGGGAGGAGGTCACACATAGTTCCTTGTAATCGGTTCCCTCTTTCTAATCCACTCTCCCTCTACCCTCCCAGTATCGCCACACACACCACTGGTCCTGAAGGGATCATCCGCCCTGGGTTCCCTGTATTTCCAGTTCCTATCTGTACCAGTGTACATCCCCTAGTCTAGCCAGACTTGCAAGGTAGAATTCGGATCATGATAGTGGGAGCGGGGAGGAAGCATTTAGGAACTAGAGGAAAGTTGTATTTTTCATTGTTGCTACATCGCACCCTGACTGGCTCGTCTCCTCCCCGAGACCCCTCTGCAAGGGGATCTCGGAAACCTTACTCAAGGGACAGTTCTGCGCTGTGCTACAGGGTTGCTGCTCTAAGTTGTAATCCCCTGGATGGCGGTCGTTTTGTGTTGGTTTGGATTCTAGTGCAAGAGAAGGTTCAAAGCCTTGTCGACGGTTGTGCCACAAGCGAAGGTGATTGTGAAGAAGAATTTGAGACTGGTGAAATCACTCTGGGGGAATGATTTTTACATACCATTAAAGGGCAAGTAGGAGTTGTCTGTAAGTGGGATGTTCAGAACCTGAGGGTTCCTACAACCTCCAGCTAGATTTCATTTGTCTAAATCTCTCCCCCCCACCCCTCCCTTTTCCCATGAACCTAAAGCGTTCGCAATTCTGGGTGGTCTTGGTGAGGAGAAGCAGCAAGAGTGAAAGGTAGAGGCTACTCGGCACCTCTAGGCATGATGGCTAAGCCTGTGGGGCTCACCCTCCAGCCTCGTGGCAGCACCACGCAGCCCTCCTGCAGCCCCGGAAGGTGGCTCCATCTCCCAGTACAGCAGGGACTTCCAAGGAGGTAAGGGCCATGTCAGAACACCGCGGTTCCCTGTGTGGATGGAGTTGATGCACCACTCACATCCCTTTCAACTAGTGCATCACCCCTCTGTGGATGGCAGCCCTCTCTGCTCCTATTCCCTGTTCCGCACCCAGAGAACCTGGGGACAAAAGCCATGTCCTTGGAGTCAAGGGGAAGGACGCCTGTGGTGCAATGCAGTCTCCAAAGGTCCTGTGCATGGGATCAGGTGGAGGCTGACACCTGCTGGGGACCCATCCTGTTCCTTCACTCCTCTGCTCCCAGAGCACATCCCTAACATGTCGCTTGCACAAGAATTCCCATCCAGGCACCTTGACCGAGCACTCCTTACAGATGATGCTCCCGGCATGTTTGAGGCACTGGAAAGTGCTGGGCATTTGCTCCCTGTAGGAAGAGGCAGGAGAAGGGGAATAAAAGGAATACCTATTGCTAATAAATCTTGTCCAACTTCCCATTAAAGAAAAAAATCCTGCCTGCAGGTCCCCAAACCTGCACAGCTCTCCCCATCAGGGTAGAGCTCCACTTCAAAGCAACGTCAATATCCCTCGCTGTGTTTCCTTGGTTTCACACCACACTCAGGGCATAACCTCAACACACAGGCCATGACAGAGCCTGGACCCCTGGTAGTCGGCAAACAGACACTTCTTGTAGTCACAGAAAGCTTTTAGTAAGTGAATTCTGCAACTGTGCTGCTGAGCTAAGCTACCCTCTAGTCAGGCAACATGGCAATGGGTGGTAATTGGGTGAGGGGTTGCTTACAATGTCTTCCAGTCATGTGGTGGTACCCATTAGGGGGTAT